CAATGATGCAATGACCACGTGTATGGTCCGCACAGTATAATATATTATTATATTACCATGTATTATATTCCGAAGTAATTCGAGACCGAAACGACCGAAATATTCTCGCAGCCGTATGAAATACAAAAATTTTACCGGCGATAATGTACTTGGATACAAAGGCGTGTCAACTGTTTATTATCACGACAATATAGCGGAAACGACGAAGACCGGCAAACGGTCAGATACGAAGTTTGAGTTCGGCAACATCGCAACGAAACATGTTTAGTTACATGACCTTACGCAGGAGCGGACCGGCAACTTTGGTGTCGTCCGAGAATTTTTTTCAAAGCACCCCGAAAACTATTGTTTAACTATTGCACTACTTCAACATTTATCTTATGATGCCACACATTTTTCAGTTAAATATTCAAAACATGAAATTTATATGGACTTATTTATTAGGGAATTAATAATTTATACAAAATGCCCAGCGGCAAATATCGCAATATCAAGCATCATTGTAAACGTATTACAATTGTGATTTGTATATTTTAAATGAATCAAAGCTATTATTGTACCATAAAAGTCGCAATAAGATTTAATTGCGACCAGACGGGCCACTGTTTAACTTTTGGTTGGCCTATCGGAAAACGTGCCCGATTCCTGCACTGCAAAGCGCTGGCAAAACCGTTCCTGCCCTGAGTGCGTAATTTCAATCGACAGGAGCGAACCGCTTGTGCGGATCTCAAAGACCAATGTTGCGCACGATCGCCGTTCGACGCGTTGTCCCCGCGGTCGCATACGACCGGTCTCGTCGAAAACCAAATGCCAATCGGATCGTGTCGTTCGATCACGGCTTTTCGATTTCGTACACGATTCGAACGCGAGCCGACTGAGCGGTCTCCGCACAGACTGCTAAAGATCGGACGTACGAAATTTCACCGGCAAGCAAGAACTCCGTAAGCGGTTCCGTCACGTCTACTTGTCGGTTGACACTTCCGTGAAGTCCGGTGCGAACAACGGGCCAAGAAAGGCAAGCGAGATACACACGTGTATCCAATCATGTCCGCCGACAATTTGCGTCGCGGTAGCAGACGCCGACGGTTTACATTTCCGTACCGCAACAGGAACACGAATCACCTTTAATTCGTTTTTTTTTTCGCCACGACAACGAGACAGTTGATTTTTAAAACTCTATTGTACGAGGAGGGATAGCGTAATGATAACAATTTCGAAAAATGTACGGAAAGAAAAACCATTGGTACACATCATTTGCGTTTTGATGTATTGAACGTGACGCTCAACGTATTTCGGGGTACGTAAGAAAAAAAAATTAAAACTAATAATAATAATAATAAAAAATAAAAAAAATAAAAAATAACAGGAACAAGAATGTACATCGACGGCGTATTCACGAGAAAGAAAAATATCTCGTGAATATTATTTATTCCGGTGAAAAGCATTTTTTCAATAATAATACATGGTACATCAACAGAGATGGCCGGCTTCGCATCGGAATGATTTGTTTTTTTTTTCTCGCGGAATAAACACACTTATCAAAGGAAATCATGATGTATAGACACGCTCGCATAAATACAATATTTTCTTTGTTATATTTTCTTTAGTGTATCCTTTTAATGCAAAGTGATTTTTTTTTCGACAAAATAAAACATTTTAATGGATGAGTTAACACCTTAAGCACTAGTGAAAGCCTTATAACTGAAGATTGTAATATTTGAAGTAATTTTATATTTTATTTTTTTTTTTAAATCAAGTAAACGATTGCCATCGATGATCATATTATAACTCATATTCTTGTCGATTACTTGCTAAAGTGAACAGTGTCAATTTACAAACCACAAATAATCGTAATATATCTGCTAATGAGGTAAATTCAATTTCAGCAATGATAATTTAGATTTTAATTTCATGATAGCTTCGATCATAAAATATGTAATATTAAAACCATAATTGAATTTTCTGGTTTCTGACATGCAATTAATATTTCAAAAGGGCATTGTCAAGAAAATGTCAAAATATTTAAAATAAAAATAAAAATAAAACACTGGCCCTATAATTTAAGATACAAATGTACGTTTCTTAAAAATGACAACCGAGATAGAATTTCTTTAAAACCATGAGATGATAAGTTTCGTGTCACTTTTTCACCAGCGGACCACCCTCTTTGTAATTAGTGAATGCTACGACATCTGCACTCGGATTCTCACTTAAATTTTGCGGTTCAATAAATTGGAAAAATTAAAAGTTTTAGTTGAGTTTATTTTTTTTTTCTTTGAAAATCTTCGGGGGTAGAAATTTCTTTTGAGGGTTTTTACGCCGGAAGGGACAACGTCGGCAGTGATGACGGTCGTGCGGTACTACTATCAGTAAGTTGACACAATGTTCGAGGGTGACAGAAAACTATTAAGATAAAGCACTTTGCCGCCGATTCTCTCCCCGTCCGACCATGGATATTTTTCGGGTCATGTGTCACAAGGCCCTTTAGGGTCGAGTGACTAATTCAATTACCCACGTGGCAAATTATCAAGATATCCAATAAACCCGAAATGCATTTTTTTTTCAAGATGATAATAATAATAATTGTACTACTAACAATAAAGATAACGTAGCGCACGGTAAATTTATTTATTTTTTTAATTTTTTTTTAAACGCACAATTTGTGAAAAAAACGCATACACGCCTACGCCACTACCACTGCTATCGTCGTCACCACCGTTACATTTCGACAATAGTGTTTTGCGCGATGAGGCTATTTTGAACGTCCAGCTGCTGCTAAAGGGATTTTCTCTCAGTCTTAGTCCCTCCCGCGTACCATTGCGGCGCCCGAGGGAAAGCAAAAGCGCGAAAAAAATTAATAAATTAATACTCGCGGGCCGAATTCAGCAGCGAGTGCATAATGTACACATTTTTTTTTCTCCATCATATATTTCATTCACATACTCCGTATACGCGTTACGTAAAGTAAAGGTCCTGTTGGTTCTTTTGCAAACTACCCCTTCCTCTCCTTAAGCCACCGCAGCGTTCGTTTGCAATGTTTTCTGCTACTTTTAGTTTTTTCCCAGACTTAATAACAATATGCATATATATTTTGAAATAAATAATACGCGTGTATTGTATAATCTGAAATCCTCTTATACGCGATCAGATTAACGGACACTTGTATATTTCGTGGTCGTAATAATGAAGTCGGTTAAATTATTCAAATACCACTAGGCGATAATATAAAATACAGTCACGGCAAGCGCTCACATGCACACACACATATATACAAAATACTTATGTATGCGGGAATCCATTATGTATTACAATGAGTCCGTGTATTAAACACGTCCCTACGAAGAACCCTAATTTTAATCCTGGAAAAGAGTTATAAGCTTATTATTCGAAATTTTTTCCTCTCAGACAATCGTCCTACTACCTTGCCATGCCGGTTGGGTTGTTTTAAATAATTAACAACCCGACTTACCGGAGAATTAATCGCCCTAATAATATTTTTATTAAAACTATTTTTTTGACATATTTTTTAACACTGGACACTGATCATCGTTGTTCTTCAACCACGTTCGGTTATCATTTTTATAATTCGAAAGTTAATATTTATTAAAATAGTGTTTATGGTTTGAAGTTGATTTGCAATGTTTAGCAATCTTATTTGCTACTATATTACCAAAGCGAATCACGATTTTTATTTAATTTTTTAAATAATTTTCTATGTATTACAATTACAGTTGGTTACACATTACATTGTTTTTATACAATTGTGTTGAAATGATTAACGTAAATGTTATAAAAATACTCAACAAGAAAAATAATCAACATTTTGTAATATATCCGAGTTTATTGTAATTATTTCATTCATTTATTATTGTAATGGTGAATTATAGAAATTTTCATTAAAACTTTTCGATTTGTTTCGGTTCATGCAAATGCATACCATTTACGAATCCCTAAGTTACGTATTTAATAACTAATGAAATAAATATTGCTATAACAGTTTCAGTGAGATTCTTCGACAAGCCTCTCAACCTCACATAATAAATCATATCACACAGACGTATAATTACTCTTGATCTATCATATAGGACGAATATGAGTTCCGGTAACGTCATACGCAGCAGATTAATTTCAACGTTATAGTGTTCTAATATTATTTTTTTTTTTTTTTGAAAAAAATTACGTATCTGGGATATTTCAAATGGAAACATCGCAATCGTCTTCATCACTAGACACAAGACTCTACGTTTGTCACGAATACATCACAATGTTTGCTCGCGTCTCGTACCCTAAACGTAAACAACGTATTACATTGCCGGAGGATGTGTGCGTTTAGGTAGGTTTTGTGTAAGAAGAACGAGGAGAGCGGATCGAACAGTTAGTTATACGATATCCTACCGCTACGGCGACGTTGCACTTTGAATTTAATAGTTACGGGCGCAAAACGGCTTTATTATTCCGGGAAAGGGGACGGCTAAAATTTCAACGATCGAGCGCATAGTCTTCTATCGCTCTCTTCGTCTCAATCGGTTTCTCCAGCGTGGGGGTGAAAAAAGAACACTCGTTCTCTGACCAACCCCAAAATCGGATTTTCCACACCGTATACAATATCGAGAGAATGACGACGTAACACGTGTGTTTCGTATGGCCACCCGCGGGCACGTTTGGCCATGAAAAATTCTCCTCACCCAGCGTTCACGCGAGGGGAGGATTTTATTGTTTCTTCGTTCTAACCTTGCGAGGAGTTTCGTGTGAAAGAGAAATACATATTTATTTACGTACGGTGAGAGAGAAACAACCAGAACGTAGTGCAGTGGGAAAGGGAGCCGACAGCTGGCGAGGTCGTCGTCGTTGCAGGCAAACAACGCGTGCAAGGGGGACGAGATGGACTCAGACCATAGTTGCTCTCTCACAACAACTATATATGTATATGTATAGCCACTATACAGGACGAAACGGTGAGGTGTACCAATATATAACTTGTATATATATATATAACTTACTTATGTGGATGCCGAGCGTCAGTTGGCCGATAAAACAAGCGGCGGATATGGCCAGGACAATGGAAAAATCATGAGTCCCACCGCGCTGCATGGCTGCCGCGGCGATTCGTATCCTTTTCCTCTTCTCGTTCTGTCCCCACCGCGGTGGCGCAGGTCTACTGCAAAACCAAAAACACCGTATTTTTATACAATTTAATATATACAATACAAACACCGTACACCCACACACGCGTAATAAATCGTGTACACGTTTTATACGATGTAAACATTATTGAACTAAACCATATTATACGCATCTGCCCAAACGTTTCTGCATACAAAAATAATACGTAATCCTCCGCCAGCAAATTGCTTCGAGTGTAAAAATGTAAATTTATCGTTTGTCTATCATCGGTGGTATCGGTACAATAATATAACTGCATATAGATTGCGTTTCGTTGGTTCGATCTTTATTTGTTTTTATTTGTTTCATAGCGAAAAGAAGAAATCAACCCTCGTAATGATGTTTGTCGTTTCAAACAATAATTTATCGTGTATTTGTAAGTATTATATTTGTCCTATTTGAATGTGGAAAAGAGCGCAATTACTATACTTGTTACCGCGTAAAATTTAAACCGACGCCGTATGTATAGTAAAACAGCTCTAACAACATTACGTGCACTTTTACGTGGGAGAAATTCCAACGGAGACGATGAATATTTATGTTCCGTGACGGACAAACGTAAACAAAACGATGATGTAGTAGCTATCGTTTTGAGGTTTACCAGCTACTCTACTGCGACTCTTACCGAAACGAGCTGGAAATTATTCATCGGATTTGCGAACTATATTATATTCTACACCGTACAAATTAAAATATATTTTCTTCTATTCCGCAGATCGTCTCCCGGGCTTAATGAAATCATATTACAACGTTGAAATGACAGGTGGATTTATTTTCGTTGCACTTGTCCCACGCTCAAGCTGTATGCATATTTATCTACCGATCGAATAATTAATTCATTCGTTGATTTTGTATGTAAATTGGTTATCCTTAAGTCATACAAATTAAACGACCAATGGAGCACGGCAGAATGATGGCGGATTTAATGAGTGAATAATATTATACAAAATAAAGAGTGGACGAACATTGCGAGTATTATTTGTTATAATGCGATTTTAGATTTTATTTTGATAACCTACATTTTAGTTTCAATAAAATATTGGTATAATAAAATATGAAAAGGTATTCTTTTATCGTTTTCAGATAAAAAAATGTTTTCACAATTCAATATATAGAATATGAATAATCAAGTAAATTCATTTGGAATAACTTAACACTTTGTGAATATTGAATTACGTTTTTTTCTTTAATGTTATATTATCCGAGAATATAAAGCTGTTGTGTTAATATGATCCCGTGGCGATAGATGTGTTTGGACCAAGTATTAAACCATACTAACGAATCGAAGATGCCACACAGGTTGGTTGGATCGTCAGTAATTTCTCTTGGGACTGCCTGTAAGAGAAAATTGGAAAATACCAAAGATTAACGTGAAATTGTTCCAACAGTAAAAACGACAACGATTGTAGAGGATTCGACTATGTCATGAGATAAGTTTAAAAATAACGCAAGGCATACAATAACTTTTTAACAGTTGAGTAACATTAAATTGATATTTTATGTTTCTATTTTATTTATTAATCATTTATTTTAATCAATTGGGATTTGACAGTCTTTTCTATTCAATTGTATGTTAAATATCTTATAGATTTTGAGTTATCTATAAAAACTATTTCTTAATTAAATATTTTATATTTTGTGATAATTTAAATAAACTTAATGAAGAACTGTTCATTTATGAATTACAGTTTTAAAAAAAAAAAAAACCAATTTTTATTGATGAGATTGTTAAAATATTAATCTATATATTAATTTATTTTAAGTGATTACTCATTGAAATAAATGCGTTTTACTTTAGAAAGAATAAAATAATTTCTGTTCAGTTAATTTATTTTTCATTTTCAATTCTTTATATTGTTAACCATCGTGCAGTGCTGTTATATCGTATAGGTTATTTTCATAATAGATCAGTAGAGTGTTCACTAATCGGAATATATGTATATTATTCATTTTTATTTATATTTAATCGCATGAGATTAGATTAGATTTAACCCTATATCCTGTTAAAATATTCAACCTAAAGTGTAGAAAATTGAGAAGGAATAATCAATGTATTAGAAATGGTATCTAATGGAAATCTGATGAGTGTAATGGATACGTTATGAATAAAATAAAGCTATTCTTATAGGCAACAATGATTACCTAATAGTATCGATATACTTTTATACGTGAAAAGAACAGATAACAATAATACTGTGACTTGAACATGACTTATTATGATTTATTACGCTGTAATGTTTGTGTTCTATAAAATTCTATTACAATTTCATTTGAATTTTTTTTTTTTAAATAATGCGATCGATTCGATTGATGAGAAAAGAATAAAAACTAGTCCGTCATTATGACTTTTTGGTCTTACATTATAGTTAAAAATAAGGACATTGGTCTTGTTACACCAGCCAGACATCCTCTGTGGGCACATCCTTTTAAAGGATCAGACGGCATTAAGGGTTGATCGGTAGACAGACGGACGGTCGAGAGGGGATGGTGGCTTAAGGGTCAGTGCAGTACGAAAAAAAAAGAAGCTTTTGTTAAACAACAGTAAACGTATTTTGACACATCTTTTATGCTCGTCTATTTTAACCTTTTAAGAAAAAAAAAAGAAATAACTAAACACTGAGAAAATATAACACGATCACGATGTCATTAATTTTATTTCATAATACAATTTTTCACTTCTAAGAGATTTTCGTCCATTAGACGAAATTCGTTTATGAATTAGAATTCAAATTTTTTCTTCACAGTTGAACTTTATTTATAGAAAGGATGGATAAATTTACAAGTACAGTTTTCTTCAAAAAATGGAAGTGTGCATGTATATAATATATATGTATGTAAAGTAACGATAGATGGTCCATACATAAATGATAAGTTGAAGTGGAATTCGTGTGACTCCAATGGTTATGACTCTAAATGTGAAAGCTCTCGTTTAAAATTTATCATAACTATGAAATGTTAATTCATACCAACATCGAACTCTATGCTTCATCTAGTAATAATTTATGGTTAACAGTTTTTTGGATTAGGAACTTTGCGGCTGTACACTTGCAATATCTTTAAAGTCAAGCAAACGTCATAAAACTCGACCTTGTTTCGTATTAAAAATCGATGAGTCTTAAGTGGGATACAGAATAGTATTATATTTAAAAGTTTTGCTTTATCTTATACGGAAATATTTTATAAACTTGATCAAATATAAAACACACACACACACACACACACAAACGTGCACGCAGTATTGAAATGATGCAATCATACTTTTACAGCGTACGATTCAAAAAAAAAAAAAAAAACAATATAAATATATGTACAAGAGAAAAGGAAATATTTATTTCTATAAGGACCTTTTTGGGATATCCAACGTTTTCCATACCCTTCTTGTTTCTAGCTCTGTTGATGTACAAACACACACATACACATTGTGCAGGTACCCTGAAAGTCATCTATCAAATGCATTCCTACAAAGCAGACATCTTCTTTCCACTAGTGTTTTCAACGAGATCTAACAAAAAAAAGTTGTATATGTATATAACTGTATAACGTTCCTCGATAAATAAAAACCTCAGCGTGACTTTAAAAACAAGTTGTTCATTTTATGGTTTAAAAATACACGGGCTCACCGAAACCGTAACAAAACATATTTTATCGGGATGCCCCTTAAATATATTGCTGTCACTACAATAAACTGGAAATGAGTAATTTATTAATAATTGTAATATCCACCGTAATTAAACGACAAAAACACCGATCTGTCAAGAGCGAAAGTAAATCAAAATTATGTAGGGTGTTCGTAGTGAAATGCTGTTATATTATAACACATATTCTAAAAAGTGAACGCACTATTTTGAAGTGAGTAGAATTATTGTTTGTTAATTATAATTTTCAAAAAAATTTTAATTTTGAAATCATGTTTTTAAGGTTTAAAAATTATAAGATCTGTCTTAAATTGAAATATATATATCAAAGTGTAGAAAATATATAATATTCAACACATACGAGCTTTATTTTTTTCAAGCACTACACAAATTAAATGTGTTCTGTTAACAATTAACTTTGTTATCTAATGATTTTCGTTTTGATGAACATACGCGGTAAGCCCGTTTTACTTGCACAATATAATTTGTTTACATTATCCCTTGAAAAAAAAATTTTACTTACACCCGGTGTTTTTTTTTTTTTTAGTTATATTTTTTATTGTGTCGTATGAATATTGCTCTATTCCAAACCAAAAAATGTACATTTTGTTTACGCTATAATAAAGAGCTTAAACACTATTACAGTAGAATATAAGATGAAAACCACTTAAATTTATTGCCATAGTATAAATAATAGAATTTGTAATTAAAAAAAAGAGCCTGGGCATGGAATATGTCGTTTAGAAAGGTTGTACTTGAAATGTAATCCTATTTCGAGTTCACAAAAATGTTTAAATTATTATTTTTGCTGTTAAAAAAAAAACAAAAACTATGACGAAAAATTTTTTTATTTAAAAATCATTAAATTTGATGATTTGTTTTAAAATATGTTTGTAAAAATATGCATGCCGATTTATATATAAATATATTAAATAATAAAAATAAAATCAACTCAAAATTTTTTTTTCAATTTAAAAATCACATTAAGCTATTAAATGCGCATACAAAAAATCTTATTAGTTCTTATTCGTATTAAAAAGTGAAATAATGTTACGATTATAGAACTTTAATACCATTGAAACATCGATCACATAATGGCACAGTAGGTATAACGTCATATACTCGTACAACAGCATGTGCCTTTTAATATAAATTTCCAACAGCATTAAAATTTTTATTTTTACGATACTCAACCGGAATTCATATTAAACTGAAAATCATATGACCTCAAACTATTAATAAATCATAAATAGGAAATTCACTTGTATACGGCGATTTAAAATTTTCATCTGTTTAATGATATCGGTGGTTAATATAGTGTTTTGTAGTTTTAAAGCTCGAATGTATAAAATCAAATCAAGTTATATATTATATTGGAATATTGCGATTCAAACTTACTTATTTATTTATGTTATAATTTTGAATAAATATCCCATTTGACGTGATCATAAATATTCATTACTTAGGTAATAATTTATATTTATAGTTAACATTTGCGTTTTATTCGTTGTAACCGATTATAATTAGTTATAGCTAACCTACTAGATATAATATTGAAGATAAAGATAAAAATATCATAAAAATGTTAACACGAAAGGGGGCACTTGTTATTTAATTTGAAAAATAAAATTATAGGCTTATCAATTATTAAATCCTATGCAAGACGTGAGGTTATGGGCAGCTGTCTCTTCTGCCCATCCCTTCAGCCGGCGCTACATGATGGGCAATATACGTCGATACCGAGCGCATAGAATACGCGCTAAAAAAAAAAAATTATAACAGAAATAATAACAAGAACTGACCGAAAACATGACCGGAAAACTAAAAAGAACAATAACATCTCGTCTGCCAGCGAACCCGTAAACGTACGATGTGGAAACCGTTTGTAACGGTATCGGCGTATCGTAATACAACCCTCGGTTTGATGTACACAAAAAGGTGTCCAATTTTAACCGTATAATATTTTTTACTATATAAATAAATGAATAAATAAATGAATAAATACTTAATCTGGAGTATTAATATATTTTTAAAGTACGACCGGTTTCGAATTCAAAATTCATCGTCAGGTATAACTACAAAGTCAACAAAACCACGACTATTTTATTATGTTTTAGTTTTATTTTAATTTTCCACGAGAACAAGTAATTGCATTTGGATCAAAGTGTTGCGGTACCCAAACTGAACTGTCGACAGAAAACCGTATATGGAGTATATAAGGCACTTCGGGCATTCCGGCCACATAGGAAAGTACATTTTGAGTTACGACAAAATGTAAATGCATAGAAAAAATGTAATAAAGAAGAAAATGAGTTATTACAAGGTGCTACTTGTATTTCTAACTATGAATAGTAAGCATTAATATTACTTACATGATTCATTAATTATTAATATTATTACGTTTTTCTTGTATTTAATTTTAGTTTATAATGATAAAGATTAAGTGTTACATTTGAATAAAAATGTTTTTATAAAACATTATATAAATTAATAAATAATATTAATTAGTAAAGAATTTTTGATATACAGAAGTTATTTTTTTTTTTTTTTTTTTAGGATAAGAGTGACAAATTTTTATTTGACTTAGGAACAGTGGATTATTAAATTCATTCCCGGTTGCCACTGAAATCCAATATATGATGTTCCTTGATTCACTGTACTGTCAAAAACGTAGGAATGGTTAAAAATTAAAAAATATAGAATATGTTCACTCCACCGTAGTACAATTTAAATCAAGTAGTTCAATAATTATTGAATTGTAAATTATTTAATTGCATTATAATACAACAAATAAAGCTACTATCATTATTCAAAGTTATTTTTGAGAACACGATGCGATTGTTTTATTAATATTAATTATGTATATATACTTGAGATGATTGACTGAAATGGATGTCAATACGTATCGTATGATGAATATAATATGATCGTACATCGTAGAGCACCGTACATTTGTGAATTTTCAAATACTATATGTTTCTATTATCTACTGTATAATTGTTTGACAAATTTAACGAAATGAAATAAAAAAATTGTTTTATCATAATAAAGTGTTCGCATGTCATTTAAAATAGATAGACTATCATTATAGACTTGAACAAGTGTCCAATAGTAACGACATACCATTAACAACATAAATGTAGGGGTAGTAAATTGTTCAGTTCTAAAAAAAAAATGAAACTTCTGTCGTCCGAAAATCGCATTTAATGATGTCACAAACAAGGGAAATACCTGAAACGACCTTTTTTAAATCGATGACTTAACTTATATGATGCGTTTAATATTGCCACACACCGTTTGGTGGACTTGAAAACATTCAAACTATACGCAACCCATATATTTAGTTATTTATATATGATTTTCTATTCGCATTAATTCGAGTTTCGCGAACCTTATGACTACCAGTGGATTTGAAATTCGCCCCCTCTCTTCATAAGAATTTTGATATAACCCACAGTGACCTAGTATTTAATCGCTAAGGAAACGTTACCTATCTCATTTATCTTTTTTTACAACAAACGTATATTGTATTATTATAAAATAACAATTGTAAAAAAAAAAAAAAATATCTGGTTTCAATACTTTTATTATACTGTAAAAAAAAAAACCATCACGCATACCTTTGTATTTAACACCAGTAATCAATTAAAATGTTCTTTAAAAACGTTAACTTTTCGTAATCGTTATGAATCAGAATTTTTTTTTAACAGTCACAATTATTATTCAGTATATTCTGACACACATAATTCATACTTGAATTGAAATATGATTTCAAATAATTTCTTTGAGTACAATTCGAATGTTAACATAACAGTCATATTTCGTATTTTATTCAAAAGACTATAGTATATACCTTATACTTAAAAGTAATTATTATTTTTCTTTTGATAAAATAGATTTTTAAGTTTTTTTTTTAATTGTAATATTTCCAATATCAATTGGAATATTTATAATAATTATTTATAATCCAATATTTCTAATATCAATATTAATTCCAATATCGTTATTGCAGTATTCCTTCGATCTTAAGAAAAATCTTAAATTGATTTTATAAATACTTTATAAAAATGCTTAAATAAATATTCTACTGTAAAAGTTAAGACATAAGGCATACTTAGATGATTCAACATTTTAACGTTGAATAAAAAATAATACGTACGTTCAGTATGTTTTGAGGCTGCCAATAATTCCGGAGAGTCAATATATCACGGGCATCAGTATAATATTCGTAACATTCCTGCAACAAATAATGAGAAATGGTATTGTTGAACGTTAGAAATATTCATAATTTCATAGCGCTTTATGGTGTAATAATTATTTTTTCGCACTCACAGATTATGTAATACGTAACTATAGGTATATAATAATTTTTTTTGTATATTTTCATTCGGCTATTAAACGTATTGTAAATACATAACATTTCAAAATTCGAAACGAACAATGCGTGCGGACGTATTGATTGCAACACATCAATAGAAATATTAAATTAGATTGAATCCGATTAGAGTTAGACTTGAAAAAAAAAAGCCGTCGTGCAGCAACCCCGTAACAAATTCCGAAGAAAATGAACTATTGTATTATCTTTATAATTGACTCGAGCAAAATAGTGTAGGAATTGTTTTTTTTTCTCTTTTTTTCCTTTTCCTTCTTTCATTTTCGCCCCATTTCATACGGCATAGCGCAGTACGGCACACAGGGGACGAGGAGCGTGTCGAAATGGACTTGAACGATATAATTCGTTTTTCGTATATACGCGTTTCACCCTCTGCCACTCGAGTCGAAAACCGCAGCAATTAAACTGTAGGAAATTTTGATTGTGGTTATTCTTGTCGACGGCAATATAAGCGCGTCTTCGTTCATCCGTGGACGCGAACGGTTACTGCAGGGATCGTGACGTGATCGGGGCAAGGGGAACCGCTGAACCGTAATAACGAATTCCGATCGTGGTTCGCACGAGGTCAGTGTTATGCGAAAAAATGAAAAAAAAAAAACAAAAATTGATAAAATGCCGTGCAAATTATAGTACACAATATTGCACACGTGTCAGACGGGGGTGAATTAAAGAGAGAGGGAGAAAATTCGCCGAACCGGAACCCATTATAGACGGTTAAGTCGACGCGGTAATAGTTCAACAGAAACCGATTGTTGAAAACACATTGGCTCGCATGATCTACGACAAAAACGCCATTGGGTAACGGCTCTGGGATCGCACGAGCCCACTTTTCCGATTTACCATTCACGAGCTCATTAAATTATCCGCGTTATCCGCGAGTATGACATGCGTACGCACTCGAAACCATCGTGGACTCTTTTCGTCGCACTCTCGGGCGACCATATTATTTTTTTTTGATACCGTTTTTATGCAAATCCGACCATTCAACACACGTTCGTCGACGGCGAACGTTCCGTTTCTACGTTATATCAACGTCGTCCGCGCACAGTCACGGACCATTCCTCCAAACGACGTCGTTCTCTTTCACCGTCGACCTGCTATGCACCGGAACAAAAGGCCTGCACACGTGTACGATCAACGGGTCGTCGACAGAACATCTTCGTTGAACCGCCATGTTTTCGCGTTTTACGAGCTTTTGGCCATCCATATGCACACGCGCGCTTATATAATTTTTCGTACCACACATTAAAGGATTTTGTCATACTCTTTTTTCGAACGTTAACAGTAATGAGTAACGCGGTTAAAATAGTTGGTATTTTATTTAGATTTCACTGACGATACATCTTGGAATTTTAAAAATTTGTAAGATAATTTGATAAAAGAAATGTAGAATTAAAAAGAAATACCATAATATAGAGAATATAAATACAACATACTTAACATTTCGTATTATACAAAATGTGTCGTACTGTACACAATTTTAGTCTCTAACCGGTAGTACACGTAAGCCTGTACTATTCGATCGATGCCTACAAGGTATCCGAAACAATATTCGAAACTGACGAATTCGGTCACGTCCAACACTGTTCAGCTAACTGCTAGTCTTCGCTCGACACGTTGAAATCGATTGAATGTCATCCGGACTGACGTATAAAACACGTCCTAACGTCGGAAGCGCACACACTGTTGTTGTCGATTAAAACAGATTACGAGTATAGCGGTTTATGGCGCTTGTGCGCGTGTTTGTGTTTTAAAATTGTAATTCGTTATCGTTCGCAATGTTTTCAGGATCATGAAAACACTAGACACAATGGTGTAAGCATTTTTATTCATTTTTATCGTGCAACCCCAACGAGATGCATCGTCACGTATTACATTGTTTCAGGTCAAGTAAAATTTTATCGAATTTTTCAATAGTTAGACCCATTTTTTCTTTCGCACAAATGATATTATGACCAGGCAACTCATGAATTGGATTCGTTGATTTATTTTATTGCTTTGAGGGTAGACGTAATAATAATAATTCTATAAGTATAATACGCACGAGTGTATTTGCTATGAAAAACCAAACGGAACACTTTTGATTTAATACAAACCATATTATTATATTATATTAAATAATATGCATGCTTACAAGTAAAATATTTCTTATGGAAATAATCCCAAGAAATCGTATGGTATATGCGTAATTATTTTAATTCAGCCAGCCGTATAATACAGTTGGTTTTTATCGAAATTGATTTTTATCAAAGCGTAGTATTTGAAATTTTATAAGAATACTCAGTCAACAAATAATACTTTTGGAATTAATAACCGTAAATTATTTACATTGTTGTTATTCTGATATTTTATATTAATAGATGCCCATACACGAGCGGATTTTATAACGGATTTGGTCTGACGGACTAAATCCTTAGGTCCTTGAAAGATTTGGTTCGTTGGACTAGGTCCTTTAACGTGTCCACTAACGTGAAAATAAAAGTCCGCTATTTTTCGCGGAGCGAATCCACCAGCGGACCATATCCGCTGGTTAGTGGAGGAAATCCGTTGATTTTTATGCTGAGGACCTAGTCCTTTGGTCTTTCAAGACGTTCTGAAAGATCTGCGGATGTATGCGACGGACTACAACAGTTATCAATAAAACAAAAATTTCTTATCAAAGTCCGTGGTCCACCGGACCGGGTCTTTTAGTCTGTGGCAAAGCGAGAGACTTGAACCGTTGGACTAAATCCGTTGGATTTTAAATCTGCCGGATTGAATCCTTAGAACACCACACACGATAGGACTTTTTAGAGGATTTAATCCGTCAGAGACCAAATCCGTTATAAAATCCGCTCGTGTATGGGCACTTATTAAAATTTAATATTTCTATATAAATTTGGACATTTTACATATAATATTCAACAAGAATGTATTTTTTTTTTTTTTTATATATTAACTATTCTAAATTTTATTTTGAATCAGTTTCTATCCACGCACTTGTTTATAGTTTGAGGTAACGCAATGTTTAATTAAATTTGTAATTAGATATAAGCAACAGTTGCGGTTTTAAATCGGAGAAAATTTTATTTTATGATGTAATGCGTTTCGATCAAAATAAAGCATTTTATTTATCATGAACAGTACGTGTTCAACCTCCGACTGAACAACATGTGAAGTGTATATCTCTCGCGACCGTGCGCCTCTATAGCTCTCTGTTAATTTCGCTGGTGGCCAGCGTGCAGGTTATATGATAGTATTATTATTATTATCTAACGTGAAACATACGACGTAATGGGCGACAAAGATAAAACAGTTATTACTATTCACCTATTTATTTACCTTTTATTGTTATTATTATTATCTTTATTATTGTTATTTATCTATTCAATAATACTTCCTGCTAAAAAGACATCCAAAACTACTCACATCAGCTACTTATATCAAACGTGTGTCCATCCATATCTAATCAAGTAATTTTTAATGCATTAAAAAACATTGACATTAATCCCTGTATTATAATTAAACCACATAAAAGCCGGAATTAACATCGAGGGATATGAACACATTTTGAACGTCCGCCGTCAAATGTTTATAAATCAAGAAGACTTCATTAAATTACCCGGCTGGTTAGTTATCAACTTTAATCAAACCTCGTTTATAATTTTTTTTACCGATAACTGAATTACATGTTTTTTTATGCAAAGCTGTAGGACACATATCTGCGTCATGTAAAAAAAAAACTCTATTAAACAGCATGTCAAATACTTAGATCCTGAACAATATTCTAACTACACACAATCCAACAAAATCTAATGAAGATCCTACCACAGAACTTCTAGATGATATCCTACTTCCCAAACTTTCCCTAATAAACCCAACTCCACCTCAAAAAATCACAGATTGGAACATGGAAAATCAATTCTATCTAATCCCACAGCAAACAATAAAACAACCCAAAAAATATTAGAAATACCAACCAACCAACATACAATTCAAAAGACCTCTATCGTATACAAACACACCAAAACACATGTTTGACTTAATAGAAAAAATACGCCCATCAATCATAAATTGAACAATAAAGTACAAACTAACCACTATGCAATACTCAAAGCAATTAAATTAGCAAATGCACTCCAAAAAAATAACTTCTTACTCATCAGTGACTTCTTTAGTGTTCTAACAACACTCAAAAACCCATTGACCAAAAACAAAATCACTCAAAAAACCCAATCGGAACTAATCAACACTCAGAAAAATATCGTCTTCATGTGAATACCTTTTCATGTAAAAATAAAAGATAGCAAAATGGCCGACGAAATAGCTACCTTTGCTAGTAAACATTTTTTGAATAACATCATTGACTATATATCTTCCAATGACATTTTCACATTAATTAGATATAAAACTCTTTTGGCATGGCAACACCAATGGGATTCTGTCTCTCTTACCAAATAAACTTAAGTCTATTAAATGAGCAGTGAAACGGAGGAACACTCTGGACCTCAGCCGAAGTTAGGATACTGCCATCAGCCGTATAAGAATCGGCCACACTTTTCTTATACACTTCTTTTTCATCAGCCAAGATCATTTACCTATATACAATATATGCCACATTCGCGTCACTATAAAATATATTATTGAAGAATGTCCTATATATATTCCGCACACTTCTCAACCTTCCGCACAATATCAAAGAAGCTCTCAATGCAGAATAATTTTTAAAAATCATCAAATTCACCACAAAAATCAATTTTATTAATACAATTTTTTCTTAGTCCACATAGGTACAATGTATATAAATTAAATAATTTATTGCAATCACTTTCAAGAAATTGTAAATATTAAAACTGTACAAAAAA